AGCTCTTGCATCTGCATCCTCGGATGCTAAATGCACCGTTCCCTTCAGGAAACTCTGCTCTTGCTGCCGGGGTGTGGTCACCTCCCGATAATACTCGCAGTGCTGCTTGCGTGCGCGTGTGCGTATGCGTAAGGGTTCTGCACGGTCTGCACGTGCCAGAGAGCGGGCTGGAACGCCTGGAATGTCGATAGCTAGTGTGCAGTGCACCTGCACCTGCATTCTTATAAAGTCTCAGCCCACGTCGGCCGTGCCTGTCACATTTTTCTGAACACAGTGATCCAAATCCTCTGGTTTCTTCAAGCCACGGCTTTCTCGACCAGAGGTGCTGCCAGACTTTCGGAGCACGGTCCTGGTCAGCTGCTCAGCGCTTGCATTTTGAGAGTATGTGACAGTGCTCTGTGCACTTGCACTGACGTCATCTAGTATTCGCGGTGTTCATTCAACACCCTGTACTTGGTGCTCGTGCTCAAAAACGGCTGTTGCGGCAAGTCGGCCACCTAGAGCTAGAATGAGGGTCTGAGGACGAAGGGCATTGCCCAAGCTTGTCCAAGTCCCTGTGCTTTCTTCAGATCAGATGCCCGAGATCCTCCTGAGAGCCGAAGCCAGGATCTGCTACACCTCGGCTCCCTTGCAGCCGTCGCAACAAGTACTGGGCTCAGACTCGCTTATCAAGTACACCCTGAACCCCACCTGTTCCAACCTTTAGACCTCCCTCATTAAGACCCGAAAACCCATCAAGGACCGAAGGAGCCCTTCGTTGGGATCGAAGTTGGTATCGACAGAGGTTACGGTTCTCGGACCACCTTGTAGGCGTCCTTGGACTTCACAAGAGCGCCTTGCATGTGAGGCGCCAACCTAAGCGAGTCGCTCCTCCGGGTTTTGCTGGCTGTGCTACAGCGCGAGGAGACGCTCGCGGCAAATTTAATTTCTTTAATGATTTGTCTTACTTTGGGTGTCGGACATGAGTTCCCCCCCCCCCCATATTGGGGGGCTTGCTTGACGTACTCCTCCGGCTCCCAGCTGCTTAGTATTGCTTCTCATACCTCATATGATGCTAAAACAGGAGCATCTCTGCAAGCCTCTACGCACCCGCAAATCGAGTTTCGAAAGTCCACGCAGCTATTGCACCACGCGTTGGCTCTGTTTCGATGTAGGATTCAGCGATGATCAGAGAGCTACCACCTGTCTGTTGAACCCTGAACCCTAAAGGTCCTAAAGGCCCTCTGCGTTCCAAAAAAAGTGCAGCCCAGGCAGCGAAATGGCTCAGATGACTGCGTGGTCATGCGCCGCACCCAGGGTTTATTGTGTGTCTTGCGACAGTCATTCCGAAGTCCTTAGGGTTTAGGATTTCCTCAAGATCGCTCACCCGCTATCCCAAACCCGCAAGCCTTTTGCCTGCGGCTGTCAAATGCAGTCGGGCTTAGGCGCCGAGTCCGTAGAGGAAGTAGGAATGACTTGCGGCGAAGATGCCTGCGGGAGACTCCAGTGAGTAGCAAGCTCGTAAGCTCGGATCAGTCGACTCGGTGCATCTCTGTACTGAATGAATCTGAATGACATGGCTTGCTGCTCATGAACAAAATGCATTCTGCCACTATGAGTCAAGCGTCATCCACTGCGATCTGAAGTAACTCCGAACTTCACATAGTTGCCCTTTGCGGTCCATAATCCTGTGGCATCCTGTGACAGTTCCGGATCTACGGATTTTCTATCCTTCCGTGCCTTATGGAGGACGGGTGAAGTTGCGCAGCAGGTTCAGCTTAGCGACATATGCTCACAGGTGTTCAAGAGGGTGAGTTCCGGAGAGGATCACTTAGGGTAATGTAGATGTGGCGAGCAAGTATCAGATCCTAAGACAGGACTCCCATCTCTTTACAGGTCCAAAAACGACCTCAACCCGACATTCAGTCCGGAGTCCGAAGTCATTTGCCGCGGTCGTCTGAGTGCAGCGCAACTGTGCCTCGCGCGAGCCCGTGCTCCGATTGGAAGGATCTTGGCCCAATCGAACTGGCAGCGCGTGGAAGTTCGAGCCTCAGTGCCTCAGCGGGACGCCTCTTGCCGTTTAAGCAGTCCTTCTACTCAGATGCGCTAACAGCCAGCCAATGGGGTGTTACTTGCCGCCCTCAAGACATCCAACAGTTCTTAACAGGGGGAGGGAGAGCTTAAGCTGTGAATACGGACAATCAAAGGCCGAAAGCTTGAGAGAATTAACCAAAAGCATCCTGCAGAAGAATCCTGGACCCCGAAGTCCCCTGCGTGATGGACATGACAGGTAGACCTATCTCAGAGTGACAAAGCCAGGCCATTCCAGGAGGCACCGGAGCTGACTCTTCGGGGAAAGGGATGTCAGGAACCGGACACCCAAAGCGAAGTGTAGAGTTTAGGCAGCCACGGATTCCCGCCTAGGCTGCACCAGCGGTAGATTATGAGCCCTTTGTTTGCTTGGGTGGCTCCATGACAATACCGTTCATGAAAATCGAGGGTAAGTAGTGCCCCGTAATGTAGGTCAACCCGACATGGCGAGAGTTGCCAGGCCATCGAGCGCTGCTCCAGCAGAGTGCGGCTGGTCCACGTCACAGCGGTGTCCTCCGTGGGGCAAGTCGCCACCCAACTGGAGCCCAGTGTCGTGTTCACCTGTTTACAGGAAGGCACCTGAAGCCCTTGGACTCTTTGAACCATGGCTTTTGTGAAACTCGTTTGCCACCATAAACATGGGTGTTCCTCACCCTCGGTAACGAACCTCCTGCCTCCTGGAACACATTCCGTCGCTCCAGCAGCTTCCGTTGCTACGAAGGGTGTGCTCAACGAGGCCAACTTCGAGCTTGACTCGAGCCCCTGCACCCTGTTGCCGAAGCTTTCGATTCACTTGTGGACAAGTGTCGGGCAGAAAGCACCGCACCAGACCTGTGATTTGGCCGGGCATTGGGCTGGTGTGAGGCAAAGAGAGCTGCCACGAAGACATGCAACAATTTAGAGGCTCCCTTAGCTGGAAGTTAGATGGCGAGAATCTTTGTCACCATGCACACATGGCAAGTAGCAAACAAGTGTCCAGAAGAAAGTTTGATTGCGAAGGCGCTATTTCGGCAACAGCACTGTCACACAAAAAGCAACATGACAAACGCACCTTGTGGCGTATTTACTGGGTGCTTGCATTCAACGCTTCAACTTCGAAGGCCGGACTGTGCCTCTTCACGTCTTTCTTTGAGACTCCCTTGCACGTTTTTGTGCCAACGGCATTTTTCCCAAGAAGTCCTGTTCATTCAAGATTCCTTTCTAGAGTTTTGGCACAATGCTAACACGGTGCTTCTTCGACGGTGCTTCTTCGAAGCGCCAAGGTTCCTTTTTGAGATCGCGATCGCCGAATTTACTCGGTTGTCTTTTTTTCCGCAAACCCAGCATGCTTCCTTTTCTGCATGTCGTGGACAGATGTCGAAAGGTTTTGCCAGCGTCCAACTTGGAAAAACAGCACGAGAACTGAAAGCCCCAAAGGCTCCACGATGCTCCACGATGCTCCACGTCTCAGGCTCTGACCTCCACAGAGCTCAGTGCCATCGTGGCAGCCGCACGAGCCGTCGGCGCTGCAGTGGTCGTGGACATTTGCCAGGCTTTCTGAGCCTCGGCTTGGCATCTCCTGAGCCTGGCTTTGGTCTCTCAAGTTCTGCCCCCCAGGCACCGGAAGCCCCAACAGCTTCCAGTCGCTTGGAGCATCGCAGGGGGCGAGGCCCCAGTGTCCTCAGGCAACGTCGACTACGACTTCGGAGCGATCCTCCGCGGCTACGTCGGGGACGTCTTCCTTCTGGGCCACTTGGCGTGTAGCGTAGCATTCGGTGTCCAATGAGTCGAGGCGTTGGAGGGCTCACGACCCCAAGTTTGGAGGCAGCGCTAAAGCCGAAGACCTTTCAGCTGAGAGGCTGCTGCATGTACTTGCTGCTTCTGACCCACAGCTGCCGGCCAGGCATCCAACATGAATCAATCAGCCCTCAACTAGAAGAAGACCGCGAACTTGCCCAGCGGCTTCCAACAATCCCAGGCCTTTCTCAAGCAGACCTCACAAAGGAAACACTGCTCGCCGAAGCAAGCCCAACCCCAAGGAGGTCTCAGCGGAGTCGGCGGAGTCGTTGCTCCAACTCTTTGACTCAACCCGAAGCCCTCAGACGTGAGATCAACCCTCCACCCTTACCCCCTATGAGCCCGAAACCAGTTTTACGCCGAACTCCGCCATTTGCAAGGCTCCTGTGTGAAGCACGCGCGCTCCCTGGAAGGGCTCGGCTTCTGCGCTTTCGATCCGGCCTCCTCCTTGAGGCTTTGAGGGCTTTGGGAGAGGGGCTGTAGTTGCCAGACTACAAGCTATAACTACAGCCTAGTCATGTATACCCTATTGTAGAACTCCAAACCGTGTAAGTCTACGATATAGAGACTTTACAACGTGATACAGGCTCACTGCAGGTGTCGCAGTCAGAGGGGATACATGATATGTGGGTCGAAGAAGGCAGTTGAGCCGACTCCTCTTCCCCCCCCCCCGCGGCCCGACCTGCGAAACGTGGCGCGATGAGGGTTTAGGGCTTAGGGGTCTTGACGTCTCAGCAGTACTTTGAGGTTCTCTGGGACTGGGCAGTTGGTCCCATTCCCGGCATCCTTTTCCCGTGGTCACAAGAGCCTCATGGGTGGGAAAACGGACGCCTCTCTTGCACCCTTGTGTGCACACCGCCTCATGCGACACCCTTGAGTCACCCATGGAGATCTCCATGGAAGGGCAGTTAGTTTCTTCAGTTTCTTCTCTACAGTTCCCGTAGACTCTTGAAGTGTTCGAAGATGTCCTTCAACAAAACATCTGTAAGGCCCTGGCTCACACCGGGCTGGTGTCGCTCAGTTGCAAGAATCTGGTGCTCAGGGAGGGGGGGTTCGTATAAACATAAACTAACCGAACCTTGCGGGGATAAGCGTTCAGAGCAAAGCCCTACTTTCCTGAACCAGGCTCCGACCTTTCAGCCATTGACTCACCGATGCAGGACCGACTCCGCAACTACCAACATGTACGCTGTAACAAGGGGGTACATTTTTTGCCCTGAGTGATATCATCCCTCCCATTCCTGCAGAGGACCCGGAGCTCGCCGACGTCCCTGCCTTGGAGGGGGGCACTGTGGCGAATGCCGTCCATGCCGAGCTCTTCGTGAAGCAGCAAAGGCAGAAGCTTTACGGTTCAAGGCTCATGGTATGCTGTCGCAAATTGCTGTGTGTAGTTCTTCTGTGTTCTTGTGGAGCAAGCGTCCAAACATCTGCATTCTCGTTCGAAGCGGGGAATCCTACCATGCAGTCAGTGTCCGCGTGCCACGGAGGTCATGTAGGCAATGCCATAGTCTTGACTTCAGAAGGTCGAAGACCTCGAAGATAGGATAAACGGCGTCTTCGAAGTTGTGCAGGTATCTCCGAAACTCCGGCATCAGTGTGAAGGCCAGCCATTCTTCGCTGTAAGTTCGCAGACCCTCACCACTGACCAGTTTGTCTTCTGCCATGTTCCGGGCACATTTGTCAGGCCATGAACCAGTATGTGCTCCATCTTCAAGAAAGCTTCCTGACCAGGCGGTCATTGGGCTTTGGGCAAGGTGGCATCGACAGTTCAGTTGACTTGCGCCTGAGAGAGACGTCACAAACCGCCGCGGTCGCGGGATCCAGGGCTGGAAGATGAAACGTTACTCGTATGAAGCGCTAACAGATCTAGCAGAGCGTAGGTCGAGCGTCTGACAGCTGAAGTCTTCTCTGCTTCATTTTGACAGGCTTGGAGTGACCCTCGAGGGCGAGACGATTGCCGGTGAGGCTGCTAAAGATGTCTGGGCACGTACAGTCCGACCCTGAAAACATAACATTGTTCTGTTCTGCTTTCAATCTCTGGGGGACACACGTGACGACATGCAGTCTGCTGGTTTTTGGTGCGGGGGGACTCGTGGGCTGGCGGTTGCGACACGAGCCGGTCCCTGAACTCTAAAATCCTTACTTCGCCGCGCGTTCAGAGCGTAGGGCGTGCCCTCAAGGACCCCAAGACGTTGCCGAAATGGACGGAATCAGTAGTCAGTCACAAATCGCACGTTGGGGAATGCTGCACAACCCGGAGTTGCAAGCGAAGAAGCGGGGAGTCCCGGGGAGCCTCGAAGAGATCCTTTTGCCGCATGCATGCTCGTAAACGCGGGCTTGTGAATGGCTGTGGGCGATACCCCGGCCCTGGTTTCGGCGGATCGAAGCTGACAAATCCAACCTAAGTGATGCTTCGTGGAGCGGAATGGTGCTCAAGTTGTTGGGCAAGCTGAGTCACTCTTCAAGAGGCGTATGTTCTCAAAAAAAAAGAAAATTCCCAAGCACAGAGAGGTGGTCGGCTGGAGCCGGCGACAGAACGAGGAGGCGGGGAGGTTGAGTGCTTGGCCCTAGGTATCGCAGCTTCCGCATTACAGGGAGCTTTCAGCCTCAGAGGTCCTAAGAGCCCCAGTACCCAGGAAGAAGGACCGCCAACGTTGCCTTGACAAGAGTCCCCCCCCCCCCCCCCCCCCCTCCCCCCTCCCCCTTTCACTCTTTTCTGTTGAACTCTCTGAGGTCTCCAAGGCTCTTGCCTTGCGGAGCCCCAAAGCCCGAGACCTGGCCATGGCGATGCAGAGGAAGGGCTTTCGGTTGGAGCCTCAGAGCCTCAAAGAAAGCCCCCAAGAGAGCCTTTTTTGCAATGGCTCCTTGAAGAGGGCTTGGAGATGAGGGGATCAGAGATGTTCAGAGCTGGTTGCTGTTTGCAGACTTAGGGAGGATCGAGGTTTCTAGGCAGGTTCTGCAGATCAGGGACTGGGGAACCCGCAGGGGCTGTGAAGTCACGAAGCATGGTGCTGCGTGATACAACATGCAAGCTACATGATAGGCCATATGTTTCTGACTTGCCTTGACAAGCACAGATGAGGTGCGATTCTCGACATGGGAAATACCTGCGAATTGGTTTCGACATCTGTCACACAGAGGCTAGGGCATGGCCAAACGATTACCTACGAGACTGCCCCCCTTTTCTGGCTAAGTTTTCGAAGGAGAGCTGCAAGTTTCGCACACAGATGATCGCAGATCCCAGTGGATCATCGCAGTTGTCGTTCTGGAATTTCAGGGTTGCGTTTGCCTCCGTCGCACACGCGCTTCATGTGAGATACCCCATACTTGAAGTTCAAGGGGCCAATGAAGAAATCGGTCCACTACAGGCTTGAGTTTTAACTTCGCAGTATTGCCAGCCAGCAGCGCCTTCGGTTGAATTGCTCAGTGTTCGTCTACTGCCAGACGTGAGAATCAGCAAACGGGGAGCTGATGCTGACTGCGAGTTCCGTGCAGGCCGATGCAGTTGCTTTAGCCGACGCTCTGCGACAGGTGGCAGGGTGACTCTTGGCACCCGCCTTGGGAGATTTTTGGGGATTCATATGGCTTGCGGTTGGGTGACAATCCTCCTCAGTAAGTAGCCGAGTCCCCCACTGGCAAACCTCATGGAGACCGGAGGTCCATCACCCAGGTCCTAGCAAGAAGCACGGCTTGTTGTGTGTATGCTTCTCCCTGCGACCAGGAGCGACCAGCATGGCAGCTTCGAAGATTGAACACTAAAGTTCAGAGTCCTCAAAGCAGAACCTATCCTCCCGTCCTGCACCTGGGCCGAAACACTGGAGCTTACCCACCAAGGAAGGGGAGACTGAGCCAAATTTCAAGCACCCGGTCCGAAACCTGTGGCTACAGCACAGGGGCCACCCAAGTGGTTGGGCCGAAAAGAGCCGGTGAAAGGTGGGTCTTTGGAGTTTGCCCGACACTATCAACAGGTTCCATGAGATGAAGGCCTGCCAGGGCTCGTCCTGTAGATTTCTGCGGAAGAAACTAAGGCAGTACTGAAGGGATGTAGTAGGATGAGCAGCTCTAAAGCATCATGCGCATGAGAACCTTGGAATGAGGGTGGGAGAGAATAGGGTCACTGAGGCTGTAGCTGCAGGGACAAGAGCCCTGTACCAAATGTTTAATTAAGATCAGGCTATCTGCTGCTTGTGCGTTGCTGGTTTTGTTGTTGCAGCTTTTGCTGTAGCTGCTTGTGCTGCAGCAACTGCTGTGGTATAGAATGTGTACAGTGTACATATGCGGGCAAGTTTCTGACAACATGTTGCATTTGAGAGGAAGGATGTTCAACTTCGACCAAACCCTAACGAGCAAAACGCATGCATTGGAGGAAAAGGCACGGAAGTTGACTTGAGCTCCAAACCCTAACACCCGAGCTCACAGCAACTTCCTGAAGGAAACTGCTCATGTAGTCGGACCAGATGGGGCCTGACCCGTTTGGGATTTGGATCGGGCCCGTCTGTGTGGGACCTGCAACCACTGCAGGGCATTGTGGTCGGCTGCTGATCGAATGGTACAGAACTGGAACAAGAACCAATGAGTGTTCAGGGAGGTCCGGACTTGCAAGAAATCGCTTCAGTGTGGGTAGGGACTCGTTGCAAAAATTGCACAAGACCCAACGAGAAGCTTTCTACCAATGCCACACATGTGGCATACCTTGCTGATCTCAGCCCTTCACTTGCGTGGATGTCAGAATTCATGCACAGCCAATGGCACAGCACCCCCATCATCTTATACAGGAGCGCAAAGCCAGCGGAGAGTCATGAAGCTGCATTCACTTCCAAAGCTGTTATGAGTAGTCGAATGCGGAGCGTTGTTGCTTGCGTGAATCGGAACACTTGGCTGAACTCCTAGCAAGGCTTTGCACGTTTTTGTAGTCCTTTGGCCGCTGGTCCACCTGTCCGCTCATGCGACTGAGTGACCATTCGGAGTGGTATGTGAAAGTTGACCTGGTTTTGAGATGAACTTCCTGAATGGTCTCTGGGGTCGGTAGGGCAATTTGCCAGGCCGTCATCTTCAGTGTTCAGATACTCTGAACACATTGGCCCTTGATTTGCCGCTGCTAGAACCAGCGGCAAGTCGACCTAATGACAAATGGCGGGGGATGCAAGATGAAAAGCCATTTGCAAGTCGTAGTCTGTGGATGGGTGGACGGGTATGAGATTGTGATAGCGTAGCAATATAGCAGGAAGAATAGAGAATGAAATCGTAACATTGGAATACTCAAAGTAGAAAAATGCAAAGTACTAACACTAGTTAGAACTTGCGCCAGAGCGAGCTGCCATCAAGACACTCGCCAGCTGTTAAATTCTACTGACATTGGTCTCATCACATCATCGTGGCAGAACAACCACCATCAGCAACAGCATCGTCGTAGCCGGGCATCGTCGCCGCATCATCCTCATTATCATCCCTAGTGCTCGAAAGACTGTTCATGGCTCCAGAGTCTGCTGTGTGGCCAGGACAACTTATACCCTGGAATTCCAAGAACCTAACATCGTGAATCATAAGCTTGGCCAAACGCTGCTTTGAGAACACCATGGCACTTCCATCACATTTCTCGCAGAGTCTCGCACAGGCGCTGGCGCTGGCTGCCGCCGCGCCCGAGCCAGCGCCGGCATTGCTGGCAGCGGCACTGGGCGCTTGCGAAGAAGGCACTGGAGGATGTTGAGCCTGCAGCCTGCGTACAAGGCCTTGCGCCTAAGGTTGACACAGGGTGGCGTACGATATCCTTGGTCCACAGTGTAAGAGCACATAAGCCTGGAGAAGAAGGTGCGATCCCGACCGTGGGCGGATGCCAGTTACGATAAGGCCGCAATGTCGACACGAATTTAATCCGGCCCAATTGCAGGGCCCGCTTCGGGGTTGCAAATCTCGACGTTTCCAGGCTTCCTGAAATAGCGTGCGGGAGCCCAAACCAGCTGAAATAGCCTTAAGCCCGAAGAAGCCAGCACCCTCACTTTGGAGGAAGCGCTTGGGAGGCGGCTGTGACGCTGCTGGACGGCTTTCGAGGCATCTGCCAAGAGAGACTTCAACTATAGGTAAAGTCAGGGCGGCTTGAGGAAAGGGTTTTGAGAAATCCGCCCGACAATCCTACAGCCGAAGCCTAACATCGCAAGCCGGCCCCGGATGTTAAAGAGGAGTGTTCACATTGCTGAGATTCCCACACGTTTGTAAATGGCAAGGTTTGCGGGACTAAGTTGCAGGGGTTAGAGGTCAGGGTGCTGGGATTTTAAGCCGGGCTTTCGGCGAGCAGGAACCTGAGCACTGAGCCCTACCCCAAAACATTCGAAGAGTCAGAAACCCAACAGCTCTTCTCCCTTTGGCCCTGAGACTTGCCCATTTCTTGAAGGCCCCGACAGAGGGTGTAGGGTTTAGTCAGAAGCCCTCAACCAACCCAAAATCTGTGTAGTTTGTGAGATTGCTTAGCGTTGTTTACTCTCTTCGCATGTGAAAGACACCGGCAGCTGCAATCAGGCGTTCAGCCAGACGAGATTTGTTATCGAT